ATTGTTTACTCTCTGCTGTCTTGTATTTCCAGCAGATGTCTGAAGAGTTGAAGTCCCTCATGAGAACAAGGGCACACGATTCTGAGATGCCCAAAGAGAGAGCTGTTGCTCAGGGGTGGTTCTGGAAGGGGGGTTTTGGGGATGGTTATGCAGTTGTTCTTAACACGTTAAGTGAAAGACTGTCTTTCCAAAGTAGCTGTCCTTCGCAGACTGGCTGGGCATCAGTCTGCTGGTGCTAGGTGGTGGGTGATTGCCTTTGCATCACTTGGGTTTTTTCTCCTTTTTTCCCTTCCCCACTTAAACTGTCCTGATCTTGACCCCAAGGGTTTTTTGGAGTCCTTCTCTTCCCAATTCTTGCCCCATCCCACTCGGACAGCAGACGGAGAAAACAGCTGGTGAGTGCTTAGGGCTGGTTGAGGTCAACGGACCACACAGGCCCACAGGCAGCGCATGTCCTGCTTGCCCTGCTCCTTCGCTGTCTGTGCCCAGGGCTTCCTGGGAAAGTTTCTGGAGACAGGGAGGCAGGGAGAGACTCAGGGCAGGAAGAGAGGCAGCGGGTGTGGGCTGAGCGTCTCAAAGGGCTGTCTGGGAGCTCTCCAAAGCGGTGCGGTGACCAGCAGCAAAGGCTGCAGAAAGACTTGCAGCTGAGAAAGGGGAGCTGCTGAACTGCTGCAGGACACCGCTGGGCAAGATGATACATGTCCACCCAGAGCCCTGATCAGCAGCTAAACTTGGTAGCAAGCGGCCCTGTCTCTCCACACGTGCTTCTACCCCTGGCAAGCAGCAGCCCAAAAGCGGGGCCAGGGAAAGGTGCTCTTGCAGTAACACCATCAAAACGGGTGCGACTCCCAGCACTGTTCCTGGACACCAAGGACTGTCACCAACAACCTGGGCTATATGAGCAGGAGCATAGCCAGGAGATCAATGGGAGCGACAAGCCCACTCTGCTCGGCGCTCACCTGACGGCGTGTAGAAAGCTGTGTTGAGTTTTGGGCTGCAATGCAAGGAAGACCTTGAGCAAGTGGAGCGAGTTCAGCGGAGGGTGGCCAGGATGGTGAGAGGGCTTGAGCACTTGGCTGGGGAGGAGAGGCTGAGGGTGCAGGACTTGCTGAGCGTGGAGAAGAGAATGCTTTGGTGGGAGCCCTAAAATCATCTTTGGAGTAGCTATGGTCATTAGACTGCATCGGGTCATCCTATCCAGCCCCAGATAGGCAGGGAAGTTCAAAAGGCAGAGGGTCAACCTGAGCATGACTAAGCGTCTTCAGTGCAAGCCTCTGTTGAAAATCACGGCACAAGCATCCCCAACAACCCCCTCGCAGAACCACCCCCGAGCAACATCTCTCTCCCTGGGCATCTTGAGACAGCATCTGGAGAGGAAAGGATGAGACGAAGGCATGGGCTGGGATGCAGCAGAACTTTAATGAGTCAAAAGAGGGAGACGGGGTCGGTCTGAGTCAAAGACCCCAGAGCACCAGGGGCAGAAAAGAATCTGCACCCCATGGCTGTGGTGGAGATCCTTCCAGGTGTCCATCTGCCTGCCCCACAGAGGCTGCAGGGTCAGCAGGTCTTCTCTAGGCTGCCTTTGTGGGGCTCACAGCCCAGGGGAGCACAAGAGAACAAGGAGACGGGAGGGAAAGGAGAGAGCGGAAGAGGGGAAAGGCAGGCAAGGGCTGTGCTTTCTCAGAGCTGAGGCTGGCCCCGTCCTGTTGCAAGGGGTGCTGGGGTTGCTCAGCCTGTCTGAAAGCAACAAGCCGATGCTCCGTCCCCAGTGCGGTTCCGTCTCCTGGGTCCCTGGTGGCCTTGCCCAGCGCCATCACCATCAGATTTAGCAGGGAAGGCCCCCCCTGCCGCAGTAGCGGCTGCCAAAGCCGGAGAGGCCAAAGCCCCCGGAGGAGATGGGCACTCCCTCAGAGCTGAGGATGCTGCCAACGGCAGCGGAGGTGGAGGATCCCACGGCGGGGGTCTGTGGGAAGGAGCTGAGGATGGGGCCGGGCAGGGTCACCACCACGGGGGAGGGCTGGATGACGACGGTGGAGTCCTGGCACTGCCTGACACAGGGCTCATTGCAGCTGTTGGCCAGCGGGGTCGGGCCGCAGGGCTGGCAGGGCAGGCACTGGTTGTAGCAGGACATGTCGTGGGTCCGGAGGTGCACCTGGGTGAAAGGGCAGGGGGAAGCAGAGCAGGGGAGATGGGTGAGGAGCAGCCTGTCACCCCACCATGAGGGAGACAAGGCACGAGCTGGAGGCAAGAGCCCATAGCTCACCTCAGCCAAGCCCCAGCCTGTCTCCATGCCACACTTTCAGCCCCCTTCCCTCTCCCGTGATTAAGTAGCCCCACGACCCAGCATAAGATAGGGTGTGTGCTGAGAAATGCTGGAGGAGGATGCGGAGTAGGAGTTAGGCCTTCGTACTCACCTTGTTCCCAAGGAGATGGAGGCGAGAGGAGTGGATGAGAGAGTGAGGAGAAGGGCCCACTTTTATACTGCTCCTGCACCGCCCCAGGCCCACAGTCACTGCACGCGGGCAGTAATTTTCCAACAGACTCACCTCCAAAGCAAAATATCCTACCTAATGGCACAGGTGGTGTTTTTGTTTCCGTCAACGCTGCCATTTCATTTCCTCATTTCTGACTTGCTTGGTCTGCCATGCAGGCTCCTTTCATGTGCCAGCATGAGACTCCCAAGGATACCCCGGGCAGGGCTGCGTCAATTTGGGCAGAAGATGCCTCCCACGTGCTGGAGGGGTCCTGTGCAGGCAGGGGATGTTGGCTTGGGGCAGTGAAGTGCGATTGTTTGCAACTCCCTTTGCAGGAAGAGGCCCGGCTCTGCCTGCCGCTGCACACATCAGCAGAGCACCCAAAGGCTGCTCTTTTTAAGGACGTGCCACGGGCTTCTCTCTCCTCCCTCCCTCTCAGCTCGCTCCAGTGGTCACTAGCTGTGGCATCTCCAGGCAGCCAGGCCGTGCCAAAGGTTTCGGCTGTCTTCCTCTCGATGCACTTTGCTCTGGGGAGGACATTTGCCAGGCTGTCTGCATATGTGGGGCTGGTGTTAGCAAAATCAAAGCCCGCCTGGCGTTGAATCAGGCAAAGCACGGGGAGGGCAACAAGAAAGTCTTCTTCCAGGTAGGTCAGCAGCATACTTAGTATAAGCACAGCTTAGCAACGACTGAGACATCAGTGCGTTATCACCATTATTGTCATCCTAAATCCAAACCACAGCACTCTACCAGCTGCCAGGAGGAAAATTAACTTTATTCCAGCCGAAACCAGGACACAATCTGAGAGACCAACTAACGAAATACGGGCTGGGGAAGAGGGCAGCGCAGGGGATTGAAATCTGGCATGGCTGCTGGACTGCAAGGGTTGTGATGAGCAGCACCAAGTCCAGCTGGCAGACACTCACTCCTGGTGCACTGCAGGGGCCCAGCCTGGGGCCAATAACGTTTAAGCCCCTTTATGCAAAGTCCCGCAGTGGGGGAGGAAGAACCTCCTGCACTACTACAGGCTGGGGCCGATGGGCTGCCAAACAGCTTTGCAGCGGAGGATGTGGGTCCCGGTGGACACCATGAGGCAGGCCTGCACCCTTGCAGCAATGGCATTTGAAAGCATCCTGGGCTGCATTAGGAAGGGGTTTGCCATCAGGTCACGGAAGGTGATCCCTCTTCTCTGCTCAACAGTGCTGAGACCACACCTGCCGCTAAGAGCGTTGAGTTTGTGCCTCCCCAGTAAAGAGAGATGCACGGTGTCGTGGTTCAAGCTCAGTCGGTATCAAAGCACCACGAAGCCGCTCGCTCACGCCTCCCCTGCCGCGGCCCCGGTGGGATGAGGAGAAAATATAAAGAAAAGCTCGTGGGCCGAGACAAGGAGAGGGAGGGATCACTCGCCGCTTACGGTCACGGGCAAAAGACGGGCTCAACTTGGGGAAGAAACAAAATCAGTTTAATTTACTACAAATCAAACCAAAACAAGGATACTGAGAAGTAAACCCAAACCTTAGAACATCTTCCCCCCACCCCTCCCTCCTTCCCGGCTCAACTCCACTCCCGGTTTTCTCTACGTCCTCCCCCAGCGGCGCAGGGGGACGGGGAATGGGCGTTGCGGTCAGTTCGCCACACATTTGTCTCCGCCGGTCCTTCCCCCGCAGGGGGAGGACTCCTCACACTCTTCCCCTGCTCCAGCGTGGGGTCCCTCCCGGGGGAGAGAGTGCTTCACGAACTTCTCCAGCGTGAGTCCTTCCACGGGCTGCAGTCCTTCACGAACTTCTCGGGCATGGGTCCTTTCCGCGGACCGATCTTCAGTCACAGACTGCTGCAGCGCGGGCTTTCCCATGGAGTCACGGCCATCTGCGGGGGCATCCGACTGCTCCAGCGTGGGGTCCTCCATGGGCTGCAAGTGGGCATCTGCTTCCCCGCTCACCTCCACGGGCTGCAGGGGGACAGCCTGCCGTCTCACCACGGGCCGCAGGGCCGTCACCTCCTCCCCCTCCTTCTTCACTGACCTGGGTATCTGCACAGGGGTTTCTCTCACATTCCAATCTCCTCCCCCACTGTAGGTTCCCCTTCTTAAATATGTTATCCCAGAGGCGCTACCACCATCACTGATTGGGTCGGCCTTGGTCAGAGGCGGGTCCACCTTGGAGCCGGGGAATCTTCTAGGAGCTTCTCACGGGAGCCAACCCTGCAGCCCCTCCCCCGCTACCAACACCCTCCACACAAGCCCAAAACACACGGCCATACTGGCGCAAGTCCAGCAAAGGGTCACGGAGCCCACAAAGCGACTGGAGCCCCTGAGGCAGGAGGGGCTGTGAGAGGTGGGGTTGTTCACCCTGGAGGAGCGAAGGCCCCGCGGCACGCCTCTTAGCAATGCGTGAAAGAGCTGAGGGGAAAGGGTCAAGAACATAGAGTCAGACTGTCCTGAGTCCTATGCGGTGAAGGGGCAAGAGGTGATAGGCACATATTGAACTGTGGGAAATCCCACAAAAACATAAGAAAAGACTTTGTTAGTGTGAGGGTGGTCACGTACTGGATGGGGTTGCCACGGACACGTTGTGGCTTCTCCATCCTTGTAGGTATGCAGAGCTTGACAGGACTTGGCCCTGAGCATCCTCCAAAGGCTGACCGTGCTTTGAGCAGGGGCGGTTGGACTAGACGATCTCCAGAGGTCCCTTCCAACCTCAGGGATCCTGCGATTCTGTCATGGGCAGAAGACGGGTGCTGCCCAGCTGCCCCAAAGAGGGAAGAACTGGTTGGGAACATTGGAATCAAGGGCAGGCGTGGGTGTCACACCGGAGAAACAGTGGAGTTCACGACCTGACGGCAGGGAGGAAAGCGAGTAGCAGAGTACGGCCCCTGGACTTCAGGCACGCTGACTTTGGCCTAGTCAGGCAGCTGGTAGGTCGGATGCCGCGGAGGCAGCTGTGAAGCACAAAAGAGCTCAGAAGAGCTGGCAGTGCCTTAGGCACCTCATGGTCCAAGCGCAAGTATGGTCCAGCCCAGTGCACAGGAAAACAAACAGATGTCTCGGCAGACCAGCTCTGGCTAAGTGGGGTACGCAAGGCGGAGCACCAACGTCAAAAGGCAGCATCCTGGAGTTGTAAGGAGGGACGAGCTGCAAAGGAGGAATTTGGAAATAATTCCTAGGCATGTTGGGATGCTGTTAGGAAAGTCAAAGCTCAGCGTGCCTTGAGTCTTGCAAGGGGCATGAAGAGCAACAGGCAGCAAGCATCAAGAGCAAGATCGACCCCTGCAAGAGTAGCCGAAGGGTGACGGAGGAAGAAGCGGGCCCACTGCTGACTGGGGTGGCTGATTTCCTGAAGAGTGGACAGAGAGCAGTCTGGGGGGAGCCCATGCCTTCTCTCTGTCACTCTTTACGTACAAGTTCTCCCGGGCCGATGTGCCCTCTGAAAGAGTTGAAGGAAGGAGGCGGGGCCCTCCCAGCAGTGGCTGGGCTTCAAATCAAGGACTGCCTGA